CCTCCGGTGTGTGAGACCTTTCGCTCCATAAAGGATAGTTTCATCACCTTGAACACATACCCTCCTAACCCTGAAGTAGCGTCTGTCCCCTTCCAGGAGCCATCAATCTGACAACACAATTGTGTTGAGGGTTGCGTCACGTGTTGCAGTTATGTCCCTGGATTAATTGAAACCTCCGCTACGTCTAATTGTGCGTCCATCCATGCCAAAAATTCTTTCTCAACTAATTGGAAAGTATTTAATGGTTCAGATGTTGCTCCTTGAAAACATCTTTTATTCCGTGATTTCCAAATATATCACAATAACCAAGGAAAAAGATTACATTTTCCATTATGTATATCTTCCGTTCTAATCCTCCAAAATAGAAAATCCATATTTGCGTAAACCATTATCAGTTATATAATTGATTTTTGGATACTACAAGAAATAGAAATACCTTGTGTTGCCAATTGAATATATATATATATAGAGGGTGTTGTTCAGTGCCCATAGTATATTACTACAATACAAATATTTATTGGCTAATTCCTATATTTAATGGCCGACCGCATTATTATAATTAATAACTTGCCTTTCGTGTTGGTCCAGAAAAACTATTATTCCGATCAATGATGATCTGCATGATATGTGGAACCAAAAGGTCTCCTTTGGATCTCACTCACTTTTATGTTCTTTAATGTATTTTGCTAATCAGCATTCTTTTCTTTCTAAATGCAAATTTTATTTTCCTGGAATCCGACCTGATGAATTAAATTATTCACAAGTTGGATTTTTTTAAAAGTTGCTTCTTGGAGGTTTTAACTTTTAACAAATTCTATTGTAATTAAGATATATCGATTGCTTTATTTAGGGTTTACCCTTTACCGTTTGGACAAAAAAACCAAACTTGAAAACCCGACCGAATCCAACCCTAATGCCCAAGATTAATTTAGAGAAGTTTTGAGAAATACCACTTTTTAAAAATGATTTTTTAAAATTTTTGCAAAATGCTATTTTTTCAAAATTATTTACTCATTATATTATTTATGTTTGGGTTAACTATTCGTATTAGAGTTTAGTTTTGCGTATTTAGGGGTTTTTAGGGGTTAAAACATTTTTTAGGGTTTAAAATTATTTTAAGATTTAGGCTCTAAAAATTCATAATTAGTGACAATTTTTTCAAATGGACAATCCATAGTGACATTTTTGCAAATGTACATACCAAAAGTAGCATTTTTGCAATTGTCTCATTACTTTACCCGTACAAAACCCGGGAAAGTATTTTTTTTTTAATGAACGTAAAATTAATATTCAAACAAAAACTGTTTTTTCAATAAATGTGACTCTAATTTGAAAAGTTTAAAATAGTTTTAAATGATATCAAAGAGGATCAACGGAACTTGTTAAGGAGGTTGAACCGCAAACCATTCGATCATTCCGTTTTCATAAGTGGACTCCCCGGTTGTGCGAATAGAGCTCAAACGATTTCTCCTTATCTTGTCAACCATCTTAAACCCAGGAAAGTATTTAACTTATTTTAGTTGTTAATATTTGTGAGGCATAAGATTCTGGACCAAATTGGGTATCGATTATTTAATCTATGTCCATGATATATTATAACAAAAATTCTATCGGTAATAGAATTAATATATTATCGATATGTATCAAACATGATATTATATGTTTCTAAACAAAACAAAAAAAAAATTATATCGCCATTGTAATGTAATAACAGAATTTAATTTGTTTAGAATTTAATTTGTTAACCAAGTGATAGTGACCTAGTGGTAGAAGGGTTCAGAGGAAAGAGGTAAACCATTCCAATCTGGGTTCGACTTCATTTGAGAACATTTTCATCTTCATTTGGCTAGTTGAAATGGTGTCACGCTTTAGACCCATTAGAAAACTTGGTGAATGGGCTACACTTATCCTGAGAGATTAGTCGGGTGGTAAAAATCCGAACACCTCCCGGTTATGAGGAAAAACAAAAAAAACAGAATTTAATTTGTCTAGTACGATTGTGGTTCTTGCTCAATTAGCTAATGCTACATGCCTACATAGAAACATTTGAAGCAAATATAAACAAATTTCATGAAATTTATGTTGTTAGTTGTGAATCTAGCGTTGTTTTGGGTTCTCCATCACCAAGAATGACAGATTTATTCGTGCTTCTCAGACCAATGTACTAGGCAATAGCAAAAGTAATTGAAACAATCTTTACGCACAATCAATTCAATTTGAAACATCTATTTCTTTTGTGGATCCAAGTTTAATGAAGAGACAATTTTAATAGTTTATGATCAACATAATAATTGATATACTATTGAGAAAATTGCAAAAATGACACTTTTGGTGAGTATATTTTCAAAAATGTCACAATGGATTGTCCATTTGCAAAAATGCCACTAATCATAAATTTCTAAAACATGAACTTTAAAATTCTATAACCTTAAAAAATGTTTTGACCTCTAACAAACCCTAAACCCTGATACAAAATAATTAACCCAAACATAAATAAATAATTTTGAAAAAGTGTTATTTTTGCAAAAAATTTTGAAAAATTAGTATTTTTGAAAAATGATATTTCTCAAAATTTATCAATACTATTTCACCACGATTTCTAAATTCTCAAGTTTCAAATATGTATAGTAGTATTATATTCAAATAAAGGTTTTGCATTGTCGAGAATTCGAAATTGAGTCTTACACTCTTTAACTAAAAAATCTGATCCAAATCCTATCTGGTTGGCCGTTGAAATTTCATCCCCTTAGTCTGCGGAGCATAGTGACGACATAGGCAGTTTGATTATCTTATTCATTTTCTTTATTTTCAATTGTTATAGAATTCTTCTTCTTCTTCCAGCTAGATCATTTTATTATTTGCTAATGAGATAACCTTCTTTATTCTGATATGGTAACATAAAAAACAAAAAATTCAAACTTTTGATTAACAGGAATATATTTCTAACGGAGAAGAGGATGTAGATTGGGCCTACTTCAATCACTAAAATGGGCCTTTAAATTTGTATATTCATGTCGGCCCGTGTAGATTGCAAAAGGTCACCACATTGTCAAACGAGTCATCGAACGGAAGCAAAAACTGTGATTTGCTTGTTGGATCCGATGGCTCCTTCGAGCGAGACAGCGACCGTACGAGTCCTTTGTCAAAAGCTGCTTCTCTCTGGGAACCAACCGAGAACTCTCCAATGGCTCATTGGTTCCCCATTTTTCCCACCTTTCACCGTCGTCTCCACCTTCCGATGTATCAATCAGTCTCCTGATTTCGAGCAAGAATCTGGTAAGGCTAAGCCGTTTTCTACACTGGTTTTGGGACTAGCTCGTGTAGATAAATGAAATTGTGATATTCAATTGCATGATTCATGTTTCAACATTGATCAAATGCTTTATAATTCTTGTCCTAGAGCGAGGAATTAAGAAACCAACTCCAAAACTTGTCCTTATTTTGGCCTTTTGATTGATAGTTTATAAAACTAGTTTTCTTAGGTTTGTATGATTTTGGGTGTGCATTGTTGATGTAGTTGATTCATTGGTTTATTAGTACTAATATCTGTTGAATCTTTTTATACCATGAAGTTAATATTAATCATCTTGTTAAAAAAAACCAAGCAGATGATCTTCGGAAGTTGTTACCGAAAGGTTTTGAAGTCATTGGAGGTCTGATAGTTGGGAATTCTGATGCCGAGAAAAGCGCCTTTCAGGCGGTTAGAGCTGCTCGAAGATTGCGAAAGCATATATCTGAAGGCGGAGAGTTAGATGACGAAAAGATAGTTGGGGCTAGTTGTGATGCAGGAACTGGTGCTATTCATTTTTTCATCTCTAAGACCGAGAATTCAACAAAGCTAGAGCCTGTTGCTTCGGTTGTGTATGAGGATAAGTCTGGAAATTATTTATGGGAGAACGGTTGTTTGCTTCACTGTGAGCTTCCAATCAAGTTGCCGTTCTATTTTCCCGCAAGCTCGCCCTCTGGTATGGTATCAAATTTTTTGTATTTTCCTCTTTTTTTTTGCTACATTTGTCTTCAGTTTTTGGTTCCATGTCTTTTTTTCTCAAGTTTAGTGATAATCTTTTTCCAGATTCGAAGAAGACGTTTTCAGATGCAATTGATGCAGTTATTACTCAGTTTAAAGAACCATATGTTGCATACGTAGCTGAGACCTTAAAGAAAGCTTCTGGAGATGTTCCAAAGCCAGTTGTCCTCCGTGGTAAAGATTTGGGTTTTGGTGCTGATGCATCAAACATTAACCGTCTTGCTGCTGCTGACCAAATATCTGACATTAAGATGTTATCATGCTCACATTTTTTTCCGAACAGCAAAACTGCTGCAGCAGTGAATTCAGCAGAGGTAAGTAAACCGATAAATTTTTAACTTCATATTGTTGTTTCTCCTCCCCTGAAATTTCTTCTTCGTAGAATGCAGATAAAATCCAGGTATCTGTCCTGTTTAATAGATCCGTAAAATCTCCAACCTCTGGTGCACCTGCTGCAGAATATTTTCCTGGTAATCAATCGAAATATAGATTATTCTATTACACATATGCTTGAGGCACTAAGAATATGCGTGCGCTCTCTTCTCACATCTTAATTTTGTTACATTTCTCACAGCTATGGAAGAAGCAAGGCTCGTTGTTGTTGATTTGAATCTTGATGTACTTACTTATGCACCCAAGGATCTTCCACTTATGCACGCAGTCTCGAATTTAGTTATCCCTGCTTTGGTTGATCAGTTGTATTCTCTGAAGAAGATTATCTTACCATACCTCTTGATGGAACATCCTAAGGTAGAGATACTTTTCTTTATTTTTTAAATATCTAAAAGAATTTTATCCCAAGCAATATTTCCCATGCTGAGATGAAATATTTTTTAGTTATATTTTGCAGTTTCGTACCTCTTTGTTATTTTATATTTTCTGACTATCTCAAGAATTGCTCGCTCTTACAGTTGCGTATTTTTCACTTCAATCCACCTGGCGTATTACATCCAATAACAACTATATACGAGCTTAACTACGGGGAGACGGAAATGAAGCAAGGTAACTATTGTATGTTAAAAGGGAGTTAGGCATGATAGAGCAAACATATTTTATCTGCAAGATTCAGAACTAGGAGTTCCAAAACTTTGCTTATTACACATCACAGTTTGAGAGTAATAAACCCGATGTTCTCTAGTAATCTTTTAACAAACTTATCATTCTTCAGTGCGTCTTTGAACTAGCACTTTCACACAAAATTTAGATCCTCTTATTGCAGCCTTAACCCTCTTGAAATGATATTGTTATGATTAATATATGGCTTTTGCTCTTGACTATCTTTGCAGTCGATGTTAGAAAATCTCTACACTTGAGGCTTGGTCTGCCACTGGATCGTCCACTCCTAAGAACTGCTAATGCCTTGGATATTTCTGTGAATGATGACTCAAGGAGTAACATAAAGAAAAGGGGTAGATAGATCTAACTAGTTTCTTATATTCTCTTGGTGTCTCAATGTTTGCCATGACTCTAATTGTTAATTTATGTGGGCACTGCCAGGTTCCAACTTGCTCAAAGACGTGCATATTGGAATCCCTAGCAGCGGAGGTTAGCACTATGTATGGCTTTGTTTTTGTTGTTCATCTTTTGCCCTGCCTACTCGTTCTATTAAATTTGTGATGTTTAATGCAGTCTCGGAGGGTGTGGCATCACTTATCCAAGGTTCTTATGACTATCATCATTATCTTCAGGATGGCTTTGATGACTCGGTATAGCATTTCTCATACTTCCATGGTTTTATATCACTTGGTCAATGCAATAATCTGATACTAGCTGATGGTGTGGGAAATGAAACAAAACTAAAGCATAATATAGTGAATAATCGCTTGGTGCTATTGCACTGGCTTCTTTTACAGTCCTTTCACCGGAAATTGAAGTTCCTAAATGATTATTGGCATGATATCTTGTTGTGCTTCAAGTTTTGCAATTTCATTGCAGAAAAGTTAAAGTAGTGTGTCTACTTCTAATACTTGTTTTCGCTTGTTGAACCAGGGATGGGGCTGTGCTTACCGATCATTGCAAACCATTATCTCCTGGTTCAGACTTCAACACTATACATCCATTGCTGTTCCTTCACATAGGTAAGAAACAATTTTCCGTGAGTAAAAACTCAGGGCTCCTCAGGTATTAAAGTTCCATTGCTCTATCCGTTAAGTACACTCTATGATTCGCAGGGAAATCCAGCAGACACTCGTGGAAATAGGTGACAAGGATCCTTCATTTATAGGATCACGCGAGTGGATTGGTGCCATAGAATTGAGTTTTGTGCTGGATAAACTTCTTGGTGTAAGTCTTTGACTCTAAATTTCCTTATTCAAATATACTTTTAAAACGAGAATCCGATAGTTCAGTTTCAGCATCAACTCAAAATTAGCGCTGTAAAAAGTCTAGATCTTTAGATTAAAACATGCTAGAAATGATACATTCGAACTTATATTATACAGGTAAGTTGCAAAATCATGAACTTCAGATCTGGATCGGAGCTCCCAGAGAAATGCCGTGAGTTAGCTATGCACTTTGAGACCCAAGGAACACCAATAATGATTGGTGAGTCAAGCCAAATCTCTTTGATAGTTTAGCAGTACTCAGAGTGATTTAGGTTTTCATGTGAACTAAAACCTCTAAGACGAATCTGATAAAGACCTAAACCAGAGAACTACCTCAGTGTAGAACTTTGGCTCTGACATGACAAACTGTGTTGTGTATGGTAATGGGAATGGTTTATCTCAGGAGGTGGGGTTCTTGCATACACTCTTTTGGGAGTGGATTACGACGAAGGAAGCGGGGATTGCGCGTTCCTGATCTTGGATCCGCATTATACAGGAAGTGAAGATCACAAGAAGATCATCAATGGTGGATGGTGTGGCTGGAAGAAAGCTGTTGATAGCAAAGGGAAGAGCTTTTTCTTGCACAATAAGTTTTACAATCTTCTTCTTCCTCAACGGCCTAACATGGTTTGATTTTCTTACTTTTTCACATACCAACAATTACTTTTTCTCTTATAACACTTTTCTTATTTTATACATATACTCTGGCTTGTTTGTATACACTTAACTGAGTGCAAAAATGAAACTTTAGCTGGAATTTATTGTCCTTTTTCATTAATTTTTTTAGATATTCAGAACTATGCTTCTTTTTTGGTCATGAACTTATGTGTATCTGCAAACCAAAATAAATCCAATTAAACAAAATTGAGATTAAAGCAAATAAGGTAGATTAGTTTATTAGATTCAGTGTGAGATGAATCAGTTGGCAAATCCAATTGAATACTCCATTATTCACTGCATGAAATTGAGGGGTAGTTTTAGTAAATTTCCAAATTCTTGCGGGTGAGTAGATAAGTATGAATAAAATATGTTTAATTTATAAAAATAAATAAAAGAGAGTATCGATAGGAACGATTACGTGCGTGAGTGTGGGGCACGTGGAACGGAATCAATAGTAACAGATATTACAAAAACTTCGAAAACTACATAAAGTTCCCCACATTTATTCTAATATTTGTATGTGCCCCTTAAATTTCATTGCAAAAAATCTTGTCCGAATGAGAAAGACTTTGCATGATTTTTCTGCAATGTTCAAGAAAACGTTAGACGCGAACGGTGACCTAATACCTAATGATTAAAACGCTTAATTGAAATCTAGGCGATTTAATAGGTGGTTTAAGCGTTTTATAAAAATACATAATATATTAGATATATATGGTAAAATGTATAAAAACCATAATTTATAACTAACAAAATTTATATTATATTTCTATTCATCATTTTATAGTCAAATATAACATTTTACGATTTATATATGCAAAAATTTATATTATTTTATTATTATAATACCATAATATTTTAGATGATAAAAACGATAATCGCTACAGTCTATAGGGGTGTAGCGCCTAGACAATCGCTTAGAACACTGCATTTGTGAAAGAAAATATCATCTTTTGAAACAGTTAAAAAAGGTAAAAGTGAAATTGGATCTAATTGAATCAATCAAAAGTATAGGGTTTCCATTTGGATTTGAGCAAAAGTATCCACAAATTAAAAAGCCTTTTTGGATGACGTGTAAACCTTCTTCATCTATTTATAGCGCTCGCCGAGCCGGACTCGGTTTGTCTGAAATCGGCGACATTGAATCTTCAGCGACTCATTTGTGTTGTGGTGGTGATTTATAATAAACCGTACGGAGTTTTTTATTTGTTTCGGGTGGTGGATCTCCAATCGCTTCTTCTTCTTGTCTTGGCTCGAGATCCGAGCCAAGCACAGAAGTTTTTGATTTACGATTTGGATTGGTTTCGCTCGATCCCTGGTATGGATTGTTTTAATTATACTGGATTTGTGTTGCATATATTACGTTGATATTCTCGCGAATTTACAATCGTTTAAAAAGTGGTGATGACAAGGTAAAAAAGGAGTTGGCTTTTGGAATTTTCCTGTTTCTGATTCTGATTTTTATCAATACTTTTTGTTCTTACAAGTTACTTGTTTGGATTTCGGAAATTGTTTGGGATTTTAGGAAAGAGGAGTGAAATTATGTTGTCGAGTGAAATTAAGATCCTGAACTTTTTGTCTCCTGAATCAAATATTTTTTCTTTAGCAGATTTGTATTTGTTTCTGTTTACTTATGTTGTGAACCCAATTGTTTTCACTTTGTGAAAGCTATAATTTGTTCTCTCATGCCAGAGATGTGCTCTATCTTATGTTGCTTTGGATTGTTTACTAATGGGCTTTTATTTGCTTTTCAATGGATGAACATATTAGCTTAGGATTTCTTTCTAATCCTTCAGTTAGTAAAATTAGTTAATGTTTAACCGTGTTAGATGGCATCGGGTGAGGGGTTTTTGACGGATGAACAACGAAAGAAACTTGAATTAGCAACTCAAAATCTATCGTCATCTCCAAAGTCTGCTTCTCTCTTTGCTGATTTGGCTGTCAAGTCTCCTACTGGTGGGAAGGGACCAGGAGCTGGAAATGCATCTAGGTGTGTGCGACGAACACACTCAGGGAAGCATATCAGTGTAAAGAAAGGTTAGTCTTTGTAATACTTAAAATTCAATTTCTAAGTAAACTCATACTTCTTGGTTCTAAAGTCTGAAGCTTATCTATCTGTACATTTGGAATCCTCTTTCATTGTTTCAACAGATGGAGCTGGCGGTAAAGGAACTTGGGGAAATGTTCTTGACACAGAAGTAGACTGTTATTTAGATGAAAAAGATCCTAATTATGATAGTGGAGAGGTATTTCGTCGCTTCATCGTGTTGTGCTACATTCTCTTTAATGTGTTTACATTCTCATGGCCATGGAGATGTTTTCTACTTGATTTAAACAGGAACCATATGCACTTGTTGCTTCGCCAGTGTTAGACCCTTTGGATGATTACAAAAGATCTGTAGTTTCCATCATCGACGAATACTTTAGCTCTGGGGATGTGGAAGTGGCTGCGTCTGACCTCAGAGAACTTGGTTTGAGCGAGTACCATCCTTACTTTGTCAAGCGGCTCGTTTCCATGGCCATGGATAGGGGCGATAAGGAGAAGGAGAAGGCTTCGGTGTTGCTCTCGGGGTTGTATGTTGATGTTGTTTCACCTGATCAAATCAGGATTGGGTTTATTAGACTTCTTGAATCGGTTGGTGATCTCGCTTTGGACATACCGGATGCTGTTAATGTCCTTGCTTTGTTTATTGCCCGGTCCATCGTCGATGAAATTCTTCCCCCAGCTTTTCTAGCTAGAGCAAAGAAGACTCTACCGGAATCCTCTGAAGGTTTTCAGGTTATCTTAACTGCAGAAAAGAGTCATCTATCGGCTCCTCACCATGCAGAGCTATTGGAGAGAAAATGGGGTGGGAGCACTCACACTACAGTAGAAGAAACAAAGAAAAAGATATATGAAATTTTGAAGGAATATGTAGAGAACAGCAACGCTCATGAAGCCTGTAGATGCATCAGAGAGTTGAGTGTCTCGTTCTTCCATCACGAGGTGGTGAAGAGGGCTCTGGTTCTAGCAATGGAGCTTAGAACATCCGAGCCGCTGATACTAAAACTTTTGAAAGAAGCTGCAGAAGAAGGTCTCATCAGTTCGAGTCAAATGGCGAAAGGGTTCTCCCGGGTAGCGGAGAGTCTTGATGACCTTTCTCTAGACATCCCATCTGCCAAAACTTTGTTAGAATCTATAGTTCCTAAGGCTGTAACTGGAGGTTGGCTCGACAAAGATTGGTTGAAAGAACGGTCTGATCAAAATGGAAGCATACCAATTGAAGACGAAAAGCTAAGGCGGTACAAGAAGGATGTTGTAACTGTAATTCAGGAGTATTTCCTTTCAGATGACATTCCTGAGTTAATCGGCAGTCTTGAAGATTTAGGTTCACCTGAATATAACCCGGTGTTCTTAAAGAAGCTAATCACACTTGCTATGGATAGGAAGAACAGAGAGAAAGAGATGGCTTCTGTTCTTCTCTCTGCTCTTCACATGGAGCTTTTCTCAACAGAAGATTTCATAAATGGATTCATCATGCTCCTTGAATCCGCAGAAGACACAGCATTAGACATCTTAGAAGCATCAAATGAGCTTGCTCTGTTTTTAGCTAGAGCTGTGATTGATGATGTCTTGGCTCCGCTTAATCTCGAAGAGATCTCAAACAGCTTACCGCGAAAATCAGCTGGAAGCGAAACCATACGCTCAGCTCGGTCTCTGATATCCGCTCGACACGCAGGAGAAAGACTCCTGAGAAGCTGGGGTGGTGGAACTGGCTGGGCGGTGGAAGATGCTAAAGACAAGATCTGGAAACTTCTAGAAGAATACGAAACAGGAGGAGTAACTTCAGAGGCTTGTCAATGCATACGCGATATAGGGATGCCGTTTTTCAACCACGAGGTGGTTAAGAAAGCTTTGGTAATGGCGATGGAGAAGAAGAACGATCGGATGCTAAATCTCTTGCAGGAGTGTTTTGCTGAAGGGATTATTACTACTAACCAAATGACAAAAGGGTTTGGTCGAATCAAAGACTGTCTTGATGACTTATCTTTGGATGTTCCAAACGCAGAAGAGAAATTTAACTCGTATGTCGCGCACGCTGAGGAGAACGGTTGGCTACACCGTGGTGTTCTGCAGACTCTTGACTGATTCAGAATCGTTTATGCAAGTGAGACTCTCCTATCTTCACGTTCTCTATATATATTATGGTTGGTTTTGCTAGATAGATAAAGAATGGAATGTTTTGTATTTTTGAGATGTTTCTTCTTTATTTTTCTTTGTACTGATCTTACTGGGTTTGACGAAAGGATCTTTCTTCATGTGCTTTTTTCATGTTCTCTGAATTGTCGTAGCATCAGAAATATTACTTCACTCAAACAAACAAAACAGTGATGAGCCCTAATGATACTCCACTTCATTTCTTATAGTTTCATCATTTTCTTATTCAAGCACATCGTATACATATCGAAATCACCACAACACATGAAAAAGAAACACAGCCAAAAAGGATCTGGATCACAGAAACACAATGGAGAGATTAGTAGATTTACTACCGATTCACAAGCATCCATTATAGAATTCATCAAGGTTTATAAATTGTCGTTGTCGCGGTTGCAAGCAATTCTCTCCTATATGTAACCCATCAAACCAAGAAAATTGTTTGGATCATATCTCTTATTCCAATGTTAAGAGCTAGGAATCGATAGCCCGCAAAGCACAACCTGGAACATCCATTGAGGAGGTAAAGGTCAATGAAAGACTCTTCTCAGGCCAGGCTGCTGTTTATCTAGTGAGGTACATTACCCTCAATTTTGTTATATGTTTTACCGTTTGATTTCTTGTGATGTATTCATATTGTTGTTCTCTTGTACAGTATAGATAGATGCCTGCAATGCAATAGAGTATACAATGTTACATGCCTAAAATGAAAATGTAATGGAATCGAAAAACCCCTCTTCTTGTATCTTTTTGAGCCATTTGGGAAAATATATGAAAGAATACAACTGTTTCTTCTTGTCTTGTTGAGGCTTCAGTGCTTCACTTTTGAGCTCTCAGAGAGACTGTAGTAGATAATATTAGAACACTGTTTTGGTTATAAGCAATTTATCTTCAGTTTAGTAAACTTGTTAAGAAAGAAGAACAAAGTATGGATTGAACAAAAGGAAAATTTCCATAAAAATCTGAACATTGAATACACTCTTTTACCAGATCAGAAATACTGGAATTACACTCACAAACATTATTAACTAACAAGAAGAGCTGTTGACTAATTAACTACTCCAAGTCTGAGTACAGAGACAACTTAATACGTTTAAGAGTTATAAAAGAAGTGTTTCTTAATACATGGAGACTCTCGGCATCAAGATGTGCCCACCAAAAGGCGGAAAACCAGCAACACACATCGGCCTTAGCTGTGGCATCGGTGGAAGAAAAGGCGAAGCCGGTCCATAGCATCTTGTCTTCATCACATGTTTAATATGCAACTGAGCCCTTTGACGCATCATGACAAGCTCTTGCTTCAAACGGTGTGAGAGAATTCTGTATCCGAGTCCATAAACAAAACCTTCTGATTCTTGAATGTTATGACAGATCGGAGCCATTCTATCGAAAACACGAGCCGTTAACTCGCTGTCTGACCCCGCATGGTGTGCAATCCCTACACGGTTAAGTCCAAGTTCATGTGCAAGACTCTGAAGACCGAGACGGCTACCGAGTCCTTCAAATCGACCAGCCATTACTTTCAAATCGTAAACCGAACCAAGAGCTCTCGCCAACGCTTCCGCGAATCTCTCTGAAGTCACGGGTAAAGATTCTCCGGTGATGCCTTTGAGTAAATAAGCGATGTCATAAGATCCGTGAAACGTGACCCAAGTAACATTCATCGTCCGTTGCAGAATCCGACGAAACTCGGAGAAAAAACCTTGAATGCTAATCCCTTGTTCTCTGATCTTCTCTAGATCTAGACCGTTGCGTTTGAGGAACTCGATGGATTTCTCGTTTCTCGCATCGCCAGTTTCACCAAAATCAGAGAAGTTTATCTCCCAAGTACCGCCGATTCTTCCCTCTGCGTCGAACAGAGTAAGACCTAACTGGATCAGTTTTGTCTTGTCGACGCTGAATCTCATGTTGTTGTAGCGTTCGTAATCTGTCGCGTCTTTAGAAGTTTCTCGCAACGAACCTGGAAATTCCGTATCGATTGCTATAAACCGGTGATTTCTTAGACAGTCTTGGATCAAACTCATCTCTTTTTTTCGATTCCAAGTCCACACTTCACGACATAGGTTCTTCATCTCTAACATCTTTGTGTGTTTTTGTTTTTCCTTTTTTGACTGTAAGAAGAAGCGAAAGAGAAGAAGGTCACTGGGAGAGAGAGAGATTATCCGAGTAAAAGGAAATATTGGATCAGAGACTTGCCTCTCAAGTTTATATAAGCTGTCTC